CAAAACCCCAAAACCCCAAAACCCCAAAACCCCAAAACCCCAAAACCCCAAAGTCAACAATTCTTTAAATCAACATAAAATAATAGGTAATCAAAAGCAATTTAGATAATTAGATTCAGACAATTTTTACATCATCATATCTAATATTAATATCTATATTACTAGATGGTTTTTAATCTGTTATAGATAAAGCAACTTAAGGTTGTCTCTCAGAATTATTGAGCCTTTTTTACTAAATTTTAGTCTTATTTACTCTAAGTTTACTTAGCTTATTCATCATATTTGATTTCATAGCTTAGTTACTTATTTACTATGATAGATTTTTCCTCTCAAAACTCTGATTAATAAGCATATTTCTCAAACCATTACTTCCTCCAACAGACATCGAATTAGTTTCATTTCTAGACTACCTAATATATTGTGACTTTAAATCTTTATTATTTAGCTGCTCAGATGACTACACTAATATCTATGGGGGTAAGTCCTCTGTCTAATACTATTTTTAATCTACAGTTCTTTTGAATCTATTTTTGGTAACATTATAACTATTCTTTAAAGGATCATACTCATCATCCTCCTCCTGGATTATTTATGATATCTCCTCTTTGTATAAGTATTTGTGATTGTAATTATTTATATTTTAGATCACAGATGGATTCAAAGACTCGTAATATCTTAACTGAGCTGGAGTTAGAGTTTGGTACTTTTAGTTAAAAGGAGGTAGGACATCAAAATTTTACATATTCAATTCTAACTTCTTTTTTATGCTATCATTGGAGTGCTTTCCTTTTTAAAGATTGCTTTCTTTTTGAAATATTTGCTATTATTAATACATTTGGAAAGGGCTTAAATCATCCTCCTATTCTTGGTCATAACTTTGGAATAGCTTTATTTACATTAAGTCATCAGTGATTTCTTTAAGGGGCACAAATCTATTGGCATTCTTTTGTCTTGTTGATTTAATGTGCTCAAAGCTATCAAGTAGAGTTCTTTTCCAAGGATTTATTCTGATTACTTCTAAAGTGGTATTATTCTTGTCTCTACTGCTGGTATTCTAGTTTATAGTTTAATTATTTTTATTTTGCTTGCTAAATGAACTCTAAGTAATAGTGTCTATTTGTTTGGTTGCATTAGTCCTATTAGACTAGCTTGTTGATTTTAGATCTGTATTAAAACTCTTATTAACCATGTTTTATTTCCGCTGCTTCTACTAATGTGATTAGATCGATACATTATCTTTGCGACTATTACTTCTTGAATTCTTAATAGAGTTAATTCTCATTGGGCTCATAGTTTTAAATTTTATATCTTGATGCTATTACTTTTAAGAATTGATGGCTTGTTTTTCTTATTCCTTATTTGATTATACTTCAATTTTGCTTCTGCTACTGTCGTTCTCTGTTTTAGCAGGATGATTTCGTTGTAATTAGGATTGATTTCTACTAGTGTGACTGTTTGTATTGCCGTTACTCAGCAGCTTTTACTGGCCTGACTATATCTGAAATAGCAATGATTGATTGGTGCTTATCATGCTGTCGTTTAACTGATTAACAAATGACATGGATGAATTTGTAGAAACGCTGTCATACTCAGAATGATTTCCTAATCCAAGATACCTAGCAATGTCTTTAAAAGCTACAGAATATTTCTTGTGCCTATGTTGTACTTGTGTTTAATCCAGTTAAGTCAGTTTCTAATATAAGAGTTAGAAATAGCTATAAAATTTAGTCTAGTCATAGTTTTCTAAAAATTCATAAAATGCTTATCTGTATTTACCTTATTTAAGCTATTTTGTTAATCTTAGTTGAATCAAATAGCAAAGGGCATAGAGAGTTTTATCGTAGACTTCTTAATTAATATAAGAACTAGATTTTACTTATTCTGAGTCTGGAAAACTCATTGTAGTTTCATTATTAATTGACATTTAATTATTTTTTACCTAAATTTTTTAATGATTATTACTCCATGGGGTTTTGGGGTTTTGGGG